AAGCTGAAGCGTGTTTACAAAACACGCTTTCAGCATGTTTCTGACCCAGACGCACAAAATGAATAAAATTGTAAAAGCGTGATTACGAAACACATTTTTAATTAGAAAAACGCTGTTGCTATTAGCGTTTTTAAGCTTAAATAATAGCGCAACGTGAAAACACGTTTTCAATGAAAAAAACAAAACCACATCACGCACTTACACTCTTCTCTCTCTCCCTCTCTCACACACACACACTCACATCAAACATATATAATTTTTAATATATATGAATTTTATAAAATGATTACTTTTTTACTTTATTTTAATCCTAAACCTTAAAATAAAATAAAAAAACCCTAAACCCTAAAATAAAAAAAAAAATTATAGTTTTAAGAATTAAAGCAAAAAAGTAATCATTTTATATAGTGGGGGGTGGCGGATGGCGGGTGGTGGTGGGTGGCGGGTAGGTGGTGGTGAAGGGTGGTAAGTGGTGGTGGCAGGTGGATGGTGAGTGGTGATGGCAGGTGGTGGTGAGGAGAGTGGGTGGTGGTGACGGAAGACGGTGGTGGAAAATGGTGACGGGTGGTGGCTAGTGTTGGGTGGTAAAAAAAAAAAAAATTCAAAACTTAAAACGGAAAGACATTTTTTGAGTTTACATTTTTTGGCCAAATTTATAAACTGAAACTAATGATTTATAAATCAAAAATTTACCAAACAAGTTTTTATTTGAGTTTTTTTAATTTTTGTAAATATAAACAGAAAACTGAAAACATAAGTGTTACCAAACGGCACCTTAAAAATCATTTCATTATATTGTAAAATACTAATGAAACAGATAGTTAACAATTTTTTTTTATAAAATTAAGAATTTATTTTATTATATATTTTACAAATACTCATAAATATAAAATTAATAATAAATTGTCAAAAATCGGAAGGGATTGGAGCGGCCCCTACACAGTTTCACCAATGTATGGGCTAATGGAGTTCATGCTGGTGCAAGATGGCTAATCCACTATCCAAATCGTATCCGTAGATTTAAAAAGTTTTATCCACATCTATCCGTCGAAAGATATACATCCACTCAAAATCAATTGGGTTGGATCAAGTCTAAGCAAGTGAAACGGGTTGACAGATTCTTGATCACTCTTACAATTAATATGTTTGATAAGTTGTTACAAAATTGATATGATATCTAACTTTTTAAGTTTGTGGCAAAAGGATTGTTTGGCAATTGCACATTTTAACTAAAATAAAATTACTAAAAAGGTAAAAAAATTGATTACCGGATTCTCATTCATGTCATCGGGGATGCACGAGTAGCTACCGGATTCTCATTTGGCAATTGCACATTCTAACTAAAATAATTACTAAAAAAAAAACTAAAATTCTTTGCTATTGCTCTATTTTTTGTAAGTTTCTTCATAAACGGTCATTACCAAATATATTTACTTATTTGAGTTGTTAAGTAGTAGAAAGATGTTCGCATCATGACTTGTTCCGCATCAATGAATACATAATTGACTATCGGATTCTCATTCATGTCATCGGGGATGTGCACTGGGTAAGTCTTTCTATTTCATTACCTAAATTTTGATGTGTTGTTTAGTAATACTTACGTTATTAATTTTTTATTTATATTTATAAAAATTTATTTGATAAAATTTTTAATTTATAAATCAGTGGTCTCAATTTATAAATTTGGTCACAAAATGAAAATACAAAAAATATGTTTTCATTTTGAGTTTTAAGTTTTTTTTTTTCACCCAACACTAGCCACCACCCACCACCATTTTCCACCACCGTCTTCCGCCACCACCACCCACTGCCACCCACTCGCCCCCACCACCACTCACCACCCACCTGCCACCACTTGCCTGCCACCCACTCGCCCCACCACCAGCCCCCTGCCACCCATCCGCCACCACCACCTACAACCCATCACCACCACCACCCATTTGCTACCACCTGCCACCTTCACCCACCCACAACCACCACCACCCGCCACCACCACTCACCCACCACCACCCACTATCCGCCACCCACCTGCCACCACCACCACCACCACGCGGTCACCACTACCTACCTCCCACCACCCTACCACCCGCACTCACCTGCCGTCACTCACCTGCCGCACCACTCGCACCACCTACACCACCCACTCGCTACCACCCACCACGTCACCCACCCACCCACCCACCACCACCCATTCGCCATTCGCCACCTGCACCACGCCCCACCGCTAACCACCCACCACACCAGCTACCACACCACCAC